GAATGAATGAATGAATGAATGAATGAATGAATGAATGAATGAATGAATGTTGTTAATAAAATAATATCCAACACCCTTTTCCATATTATACTTCTTTCACTGAATTATCTACCAAAATTCCAAACAGCACTGTGGCTTTACTACTACATTCCTAAAATACTTATATAAAAGATTATCCTTTAATAAAATAATATCCAACACCCTTTTCCATATTATACTTCTTTCACTGAATTATCTACCAAAATTCCAAACAGCACTGTGGCTTTACTACTACATTCCTAAAATACTTATATAAAAGATTATCCTGTGCTACAGATTTATGATTTATTCTTTAGCTACAGTATTGGCATTCCCCCCACCCCCTGCTTTTCAGCTACCAACCAACATGCTTCAATAAAACCCAATATATATTTAAGGCTATATACAGTAAATGTGATGGGTGGATGGATGGATGGATGGATGGATGGATGGATGGATGAATGGATGGATGAATAATAAGCAAGCAAGAAAGAAAACATACAGTTTCTGTAGTTTTACAACATACGCTTACCTAAACGAAGAATAATTAGTTCAGTGGTAGTTTAGACCTCATAGTTTCCTTTGTATTATTAATGCTTCAGTTCCAGCAGATACATTTGCCAGTGCTTTTTGCTTTCTCATTTTTGTAGTTCTAAATCCCCTATGATTGGAGTGTGAGGATAAGTAAACTCTTAACTGGATACAAAAAACAAAGATCATTTGTTTGGGAGAGCATGTAAGATTGCCTCCTTGTGTGTAGTGCCTCAAATTCTGTTTTTAGTGCCGCAGATCTTGACAAAATTGGGGTTTATGCTGCTGTCATAATAGCTGTAGTATATTTTCAGGCAGTATTTCTGTACAGGACAACATGTGAAAATAAATGTTTACAGGGAAAGGAAAAGGAATTTTACTATCTGGAGAAGCAAGTGACCCACACTGTTACGGCAACCAAAGTTGATTCAGTTATTTTGGCTTCTGTGAGAGAATCCTAGGAGTGTTTTCCTTCACCCTGGCAATAAAATTACAACAAAACAAGTTCATTAGTTACATTGATATGACACCTCAGTTGTGTCCATTACCAATATCCTGTCATGGTAGGGCAATCCCATTATTTTGTGGGGGGGGGGTGTCTCATTTTTACTCTGTCATCCTATCTTGACTGAAGATCTTCCACTTTCTAAATTACTCTGTTCATTCAACCTTACAGTCCTCTATTGGTGGAACTATTTATTGAACAATGTGATCTCAGACATTTCCCTGCCCCCTGCTGTTGTTTAAAAAATGTTTCCTATAATAAAAAGCATGCAATAAGAACCTGGCATGTTCCACAACATGTTTATTTGCAGCATTACATTTGGGTCTCATAGGAACGGCACTGTAGGCTCTTGCTATTTTCATCAAAATGTCAAAATCTCCATCCCACTTGTACACGTGCATGACATCATTATGCATGCACAGAAGGGGGAGGGCCTGTGTCGTAATAGTGCCATGCTGTTTTCAACATTCTGCCCTTCTTAAGAATGCTGTTGCTGCTGGGCTGGTTCCTCATTTTATCAATGGCTGTTTTGTGACTGGTCTTAAACAATTTAGCAGCCATTTTGTAAACAGCAAGTTTCTCATGGCAGCTATATTGTATGTCTATCATATGCACATTCAGAATGTGCGCCTGGCCCCAAAAGTTTACCTACTTCGGTGTGCAGTATTGCCTTTAAACAAAAGGAGCTATTTTCCTCCTGATGTAAAAGCTGCCTACTCCAGAGGTGATTATGTGCCATCAAGTCATTTTCAACTCCTACCGACCACGTAGTTTTTCCCCATGACGATCTATCCATAACCTGGTCTTTCAGATCTTCTAACGGTGCTGTCATTGCAACTGTAACTGAGTCCATCCACCTTGCTACTGGTCCTCCATTCCATATGTAAGGCGTCCCATTTTTTCTTTTCTTTTTTTCCAAGCTCCTTTTGCATGGCTTTTGATAACCATGCAAAACTTCAGATGATCACTCAAGGGCAGGAAAGAGCTTTAGTTTCTGTGCAGCCCAAATCTATTGAGGCAATCAGGCTCAGTATAAGTATAAAAAAGCATACATACATACATTGTTTGCTCACATTTTGCCTTCAAATTTCCCATTATTTTCATTGGTATGTTTTGGAGAGTATGGACTTGCATATGTAACATGGTGCCATGTTCACCTAGGTATAATATATATGGCATTATGAGGATTAAGCACAAGTACATACATTAAAAAGCTAGATCCATAAACAACTTTAGAGAAAAATACTGTATTATATTGTGTACATCTGAGAACAGATTACCCTAGAAAGGTTTTTAAAGAAACTCCAACAATTCAAAAATCACTAAAGACTAAATAAATAAAACATGGTAGCTCACAATTTTGACAAGTTTTATGGTTTTATTTATCAGTTATAATGCACTTACATTATTCTTACTCTTGTACAAAGATTGAAAAGTAAAGGTGTTCCTGCTGACATGTTCATCATATGAGAATCATTACCAAAGGAAAAGAGAATTAGAAGGGAACATGAAAGCAAGCAAATACAGATACCAATTTTTGAAGTTACATGATCTTGGCATTTCATTGGATCTGTACAGGGGGCCTCCCTGTTTTCAGCTATACATGCATAGGTAACCCCTGGATGGCTGATACCAGCATATCCTCTATCCAATTCTGCAGTCCCAGGGCAAAAGATGTATATCTCTCTTTGCATAGTCATATAGCCACTGTACAAATTTCTCAAAAACATACTCCTAACAATCACTTTGAATAGGATAACTGAGACCTGGCTGGATCCAGAGGTGGAGGAGCCCTCTTGGAGTTATGCCCAGACAGGATTCAAGTGTGGTATCAGCCGAGATCCTGGGGCAGAGGTGGAGGTGTGGCAATTGTCATCTGGGAATCTCTTATGGCTTTCAGGGGTGTTGCACCACAGGTCACTTGGTGTGAAACCCTGTTCATTAAGTTGGGCTCTAGGTATCAGTTGGGTTGGCTGCTATTGTACCACCCTCGCTACTGCACAGCAGTTTCCTTGCCTGAGCTCCTTGATGCAATCTCTGGGTTGGCAGTGGAGTTCCCCAAGCTTATGGTCTTGGGGGACTTCAATCTGCCTTCTCTAGGGATGGGATCTGAGGTGGCTCATGAGTTCAGGGCCACCAGGACAACCATGGGCCTATCCCAAATCATCCAGAGCCTGACACGGGACAGTGGCCATGCATAAGATCTGTTGTTCCTATTGGAGCAGTGGCTATGTGAAACTGGAGGAGCTTTTGGTGTCCCCCATGTCATGGTTGGATCACACCCTGATTATGATGGGATTCTCTAATGTCACTATCCACTGCAGGGTTAGGAACCCATTATATTGGTCTGCCCTGACAACTAATGGACCCGGATGGATTTCAGAGGGACCTGGGGGTGTTCCTGCTGGTCTGCTGTACAGTCCATCCGAAGCCTTGGTCGCTGCTTGGAATAAAGAGGTGGCTAAGGCTTTGGATCAGATTGCGCCCATGCAACCTCTCCCCGCTTGGGGATCCCAGCGCTCCCCTTGGTTTATGCAGGAGCTGAAGGAGTTGAAGCAAGAGAAGAGATGTCTAGAGCATTGCTGGTGCTTGATGAGGAAGGAACTCAACCAAACATGAATTAGAGCTGCTATTAAGGCCTACCTAGTGGCAGTAAGGGTAGTGAAGCGTCATTACTTCTCTGCTGTTATTATGTCCACAGATAGCCACCCCACAGTCCTGTTTCAGGTGACATGAGCCTTCTTGGGCAAGGATGGCTTGGAGAACCTTCTCCAGGGGTGCGCGGAGGAATTTTCCCAGCATCTGTTGGATAAAATTGCTCAGATTCATTTTCAGTTGGATGCTGGCTTTGTTGCAGGTCCGGTGGAGATGCCTAGGGAGGAGTCTTCTATCTGGGAATGGTTTGAACCTGTTGGACCTGAGGAAGTGGACAGAATCTTTAGGGCTGTGAGGTCAGCTACCTGCTCTTTTGCCATGCCCCTCTAAAGCAGCCCAGGGGGTGTTGTGTGAGTGAGTTCTAGCGATGATTAATGCTTCCTTGAGTGAAGGGGTGGTTCCTTCACCTCTTAAGGAGGCTTTGGTTTGCCCCTTTCTCAAGAGGCCATCTCTGGATCCCACTATACTGGGCAATTACTGTCCAATATCTAAGCTCCCTTTTTTGGGGATGATTGAGAAGGTGGTTGTGCAGCAGCTTCAGAGGATGTTGGATGAAGCAGAGTATCTGGATCCCTTTCAGTCAGGATTCAGGCCTGGGTATGGGATGGAAAAAGCATTGGTCGCACTTTTGGATGATCTCTGGCAAGGACAGGATGGGGGCTGTGCATCCATCCTTGCCTTACTTGACCTCTCTGTGGCTTTCAATACCATCAACCATGGTATCCTTCTGGATCAACTCAGATGATTGGGAGTGGGTGGCATGATGTTGTGCCAGTTTACCTCCTGGACCAATTCCAGTCAATGGTGGTTGGGGAGAGATCTCACTCTCGGCTCTTGTTATGTGGGGTGCCGTAGGGTTCGGTACTCTCCCCCTATTTAACATCTACATGAGACCTCTTGGTAAGATTATCCATCACCATGAGGTGAGGTATCATCAGTATGCTGATGATACTCAATTATACATCTCTGCCTCTGGCGAATTAAGCGATGCTGTGAATGTCTTATCCCAGTGCCCAGAGGCTGTGAGAGTCTGGATGGGGAGCAACAGGCTTCAGCTGAACCCTGGCAAGACTGAGTGGCTTTGGGTTTTGGGACCCTCTGGTTCTAGGACTATGCCAACTTTGGTGCTGATGGGGTGGCACTGCCCCAAACAGACCTGGTGCGTAATCTGGGGGTCCTCCTGAACTCACGACTCCTGCTTGAAGAGCAGGTGGCAGTCGTGGCTAGGAGGGCCTTTGCACATCTTCATATTGTGTGCCAGTTGCACCTGTTCCTAGATCGGGGGGCTCTGCTCACTGTCACTCATGCCCTAGTCACCTCCCATTTGGATTTCTGTAATGCTTTCTACATGGGGCTGCCCTTGAAGAGTATCCAGAAGCTTCAGCTGGTGCAAAATACAACGGTGCAGGCAGTTATGTGTGCCCCTAGAGTGGTACACATTACATCTCTGCTTTATGAGCTGCACTGGTTGCCGGTTTGCTTCCGGGTCCAATTCAAGGTGCTGTTTTTGACCTTTAAAGCCCTTCATGGCAAGGGGCCGGGTTATCTGAGGGACTGCCTCTCCATGATTACATCTGCCCACCCCATCAAGTCTGGCAGAGAAGACATGCTGCGAGTCCTGTCTGCCAAGGAATTAATTTGGTGGGTCCCAGGAGGCGGCCCTTCTCTGCCATGGTGCCCGCCTTGTGGAATCTTCTCCCCCCAGAAACGAGATTAGCTCCAGCCCTCTCAACATTCTGCAAGTCCCTCAAGACCTGGCTATGTGAGGGGACCAGGGAGATTTTGTGATGGCTCCCTTACTGTGATTGATATCATCCCCTCTTGTTTTGTGTGCTTTTTATAGTTATTTCTGTGACTGTTTTCTATGCATTTATTGTTTTGAATTAAGCATTGTACAGTGCCCAGAGTCACTTTTATGTGACACGGGTGGCTATATAAATAATAAATAAACAAACAAACAAACCTACTAGGCAACAGCTGTGAGCAATTTTATATACAGGACGCTCCCCCAGAGACTGTCCTCCATTAGAGTTCATCTCCATTCTACCATTAAACAACTGACTGCTAAGATGAAAGGACATTTGTTTAGGCTATTTCAGAGTTAACATACCTAGCCCACCTCACTGCAGTAGCAACAATAACTGATTGTCATTGGATGGTCCTGTCAACAGACTTACCTTGGTTTAATTTGGCTTTTAGAAAAGTAAGGCTTATTTTCTGAATATTTTCATATTCTATTGCAGATTATTATTGACTAGCCATACTCTTTTCTTTTAACCATGCTAATTTGATAATTTGATTGGAGGAAGTGGAAATATTCATATGTACTTCTAAGGTCTATTTTTAATACTGTCTTTTTTCATTCCTTATAGTGGTCAAGGAAAAGCATTCTTAAAAGGCTTGTGGTTTCATTATCACCAGCAAATACTCCCACTATAGTCAGAATTTTATTTCAGTAAATAGTCTTTTTTAGAACATTAGTCCTGAAATTCTACTGTTTATATTGTGTTTTTTTTTTAGTGGATGAAAATTTTTAACCATATATGGAGTTATGGTTAACACACAATTAGTAATACAGTAGGTATCATACAGAGCCGATAGTCACACATTCTTTACAGTAGCCAATTTTGATCACAGAAATGCCTTCCTTCATCACAAAGTTTTAATCAAACAATATTGTGGACAAGCAAGAATTCAACATTCTTACTGGCAGTACTTCATGAAAACAAATGGTGTAATAGGAACAAATGAGATAATAAATTCCAACCAGAATCATTGTGTATCCCAGCTCAGATTTGGTAACAATCACATCTTATGCAAATATTATCTCTAGAAGTTTGTGTATTTCCCATTAAATATCAGGATGATTTTGTGTACATCTCTTACCACCGGGCCAGATTTTTTAATTATTATTTTTAAATGTTGCTGATAGATTTTGCAGCATTCAGTTTACTTCTGACCATGTGTGTGCGTGCCATAATAAAAGCCTCACAGCAGATACTTTATTTTCACATACAGAATTCTCACATTAGTCAGGAATAAAATCTAAATAAATGTTTCAAACAT